AACCTAACATTTAAAAAACCATTAAAGCAACGATGTGTGCAGATCCAATTAAACACCCAATTTAAACGACATTCAAAAATCATTAAAGCAAGGATGCAAAAAGACACCCAAATTAAATACCAAAATTAAACACCCAACCTAACATCCAATTAAACACCCATTTAAAAAACACCCAAATTAAACACCAAAATTTTAAAAAGTAAAATTTAAAACCCCTTTTATACACAAACATTCAAAAACTACTATACAGTGTGTGGTTCTGTGCAAATGTGCTGTTTTATGTGTGTGAGAGAGAGAGATATAGAGTGAGACATATCCCTCAAGAAATATTGAAAAAGCTGTCGGCAACATAGATAATGCTGCCTGTGATTAGATTATGACAACTCTATATGTAAAACTTATAGATTTTGGTTCCACATTGTTAAACAAATGTCATAGGGTGGATAAGATGGAATTAGCTTGCCATGGGTTGCAAGAATTTCATAAAGTTGGTTGTTGTAAGTGATCGACAGAAACTAAGATGGAGTTTCGGTGTTAAACAAAAGGCCAAAAAGCTAGGGGAAAAAGGCTGATGATGATTTGGTTATATTATTTGCTTAATAAGTACCAATGTTATATTATTTGCTTACGAAAAAACAAACTGATCTTACTTTTTTTGCCATCAATGTCATATTATTTGCTTACAAAAAAACAAAATAGAAATCAGGAATAAAAAAAGAGTAGAAACCTATCTTGCTTCTGTATGGACCTTTGATACATAACAACTCCTTGAATACCCTAGTTTTGACATTGATAATTTGTCTTTGACCGGACTAAAGAGTGAATTAATCAAAATGTACATAAGTTGGTCAATACACTCCTGATAATTAAACCAAAAAAAATAATGGTTTAATTTACATAGCATGCTCATCTTGGAACACCCAGAAAAACTAAAGAAAATTAATGGAAAAAGAAGAATAAACTTGTGAAGAAAAACAACTAAGTCTTCCATTCTATTCTCCAAAAAATATTTACATCAAACTACTTAAAAACCAATGCTCTCAATGAAATGCTGAATGGAGATCAAAAATGAAAAAAAAAAAAANCCAATGCTCTCAATGAAATGTTGAATAGAGATCAAAACTGGGAAAAACAAAATAAACCCAGTTGAAAAATCTAATATTTTTAGAAGCTTGCATAAATTGAAATCTAAAGGAATAAAGTCCCAAGGACCCCAACCATCTCCAGATGAATGCTTAAGATTAACAATAAAGAGGTCTTGAAAAATGTCAAAGAAAAGTGAAAATCAACCAGGAAAGTAATGAACAGTCTGTATTGAAAATACTTCAAATTCAGTATCAGGTCGATTAGAAGGAAAATGCTATTTGAACTTAAAAATCTGACATATGACCTAATGACGTGACTTTATTGGAACCATTGGATTCACACCAAGTTTTAATGTTTGACAGAGCCCAGTCAATCTAAATGTCATAGTGAATTAGATCAATAAATTAGGTCTCAATAGCATTGCTCCAATTAGAAATTCGATTGTTGATATATACAAAAACCTTTCATAAATGCATTAGAAGTTGCTAGAACTCCTACAAAAAGCCGATACCCAGATGGAAAAAATCCATGGATACACAGAGAAAGCTCTAAGAAGTGAGAGATGACTCAGAAATATGATCAAAACAAACAAACAAACAAACAAACAAAACGATGGAATAAAAATCAGATTGAATAAACCTTGCTAAGGAATGAAATAAAGAAAATCTGAGCAATGAGTCACACTTCATGGTATTCAGTAGAATAAGGAATGGGAGAGAAAGAGTCCTCACAAATCTAAATCAAAAACCTATTAGTCCTCACAAATCTAACATGCAACCACAAATTCAGGGAACTCACACAGGCCAAATCAAAAACTTGTCACAAAGAACCCTTCATACCCATCATACCACATGAAACCCCATTTTCCACCATCCAAAAAGAAAAAAAAAATTAAATTAAGGGACCTGATCTGGAGTCTCATGACTCTTCCTATTCCTCATATTCCAGAGTTTTAGTTAATTAGCAAACAAATGGACTTTTGATACACAACAGGTGATACATAGCAAAAATCGATCATACTGTGCTGTTGAGCGATTGGAGAGAGAAAAAGAGAGGGGGAAAGGGAGGTACGTGGACTGAGCTGTGTTGATCGGCGCTGTGTTAAGCCATGGCAGAGGAGTGAGAGGCTGAACTCGCCCGCTGTGTTGTGAGAAGGATTGGTTGAGAGAGAGATGAGTTTACTACGAGGCGTTGAAGAAGAGTGATTGGGTAGTTGTGTTGAGCCATGAGCCATGGCAGAAGGGTGTGAGGGGACTGGATTGGTGAGTAGTCTGAATGTAATTTGGGCAAAAAAAATTTTTATGTTAGATGAAATGTGAGTCATTAGATTCACTTTAAATAATTAAATAAAATCTAGACCGTTGAATTAAAATTAAAATCAATCTGAACCGATCTTGTAATTTCTCAAATAAATTTAAATTAAATTAAATTTTAAAATAAAAAAAAAATAAATTAAATTCTATCCTATTATTATAGATATTATAGATTCCTATTAGGTCCACATCAAGCTCGTAACTTTTCCTCTACACGAGGAGACAACCCCACGTGAACAAGCGATGATTTTTCAGAACGCACACTCCTAAACACCAGTCTTTATTAGAAGATCATCTTTTTATTTTCTTTCTTTCTTTCTCTCCTTCCTTCAATAGCTCCCAATCTCTCTCTCATTTCTCTCTCCCCCATTACTCCGGGCTCCGGCGGCCCAGTAATCCCCACTCAGACGTCTCTCTATAAGGTTGGTTCTCTCTCACCATCCACTCTCCCACACACAAAGACCCGTTTTTGTAAACAAACTTACAAAACACACACTCCACATCCTTCCCATTCTTTCCCTCTCCCTTCCTCCCCGCAGAGATACCGACGCACACACACTCTGCTCACAAGCACGCACACTGTTCATCTTATGGGATCCACTTATCCAAGATGGCTGAAGACAATTTGAAGTCGAAAATAGTAAATGGGTTTTTTTTATTTTTAACATTAATATTAAATAAAATATGACCGTTGTATGCTAAAATTTCAAATAAAAAAAATAATCTCTCTTCTGTCTCCTCTCACATAATTAATTAACAATAAATTAATTTCTTAATTGGAATGTTAGTTGAGGGTATGTATATGCGAGTTTTTCGTTATTTGAAGTGCCCTTAAGAATTTTCATAGTTATTTTCTACTGTTTCTGTGGATTTTTACTGAAAATGGTCTGATGATATTGATTGGTTGGTGGGTTTCTATAATACTTGACATGCATATAAGGTGTTCGAATAAATGCCAACTTCACGCCTAGGCCCATGTTTTATGCAAGTTGTTTGCATTAGGTCTTTGGTAACATGTAGTTGATAGTTTTTTTGGGGAAAGTAGCATGCAGTAGATAGTTCGATGTGAACCAAATTCAATATGTAAGCTCTATTTTTCCATGGAATAGGTGCGGGGGCACGTCTCCTCTGCTGTTCCTTCATAACAGCACATGGTGCTGTTAGTCCAAACGGTACCGCATCATCACAAGACAAAAACAGCCCCAACAGATATTAACAAGGACACAGTTTAATGCCAGAAACATAATTTCTATGGTATTTCGTCTCATTTTATGTTTATATTGAATATAATTAATTTTAATTTTATTTATTTAATCATATCAAATATCTCAAAATAACATGTTTGACACATATTTGATACACATATCTCGTGAATCAAAAATTTAACACTAAAATTTCTTTATCTCTTAAGAAAACTCAAAGCTAATGTATTCTTATAAATTAAAAATTCATCTGATCTTTCTGCAAGTTAAATCGAGTGAAAAAATTCCTTAATTCTGTAATAAGTTTGATTACATGGATATAAATTAATATTTTTAAAGTCAATTATATCATATTTCGTAGATTTATATTTAAATATTCTTATATTTATTAGAAGTTTGATCTTATTTGAGATATGTGTGTATGTGTGTGTAAATAGGGAAGTAGTATCAATTTTCTATTCTATAAAAATCTATGAAATTGGATTAAAATTTTGATTTTATTAGTATTCAATTGAACTATTTTGTTTGAATCAAGTAGATTATTTCATTGAATTCGAATATAGATTATTCAAAAGAAAATATTTCAAGTATTTTGATTAAATTTAATATTATAATTTTTTTATTGGATTCAAACTTGGATTAGAATTATAATATTAGATTTAATCCAAATACTTGATAAATTTTTGTATCAAATTTAAGCAAAGCTCTTATTAATATTTGTTGCGTTTAGTCTTGAATTTTGGGAGTCGGCTGTTTTGTCTTGTATCGATGCGGCGCCGTTGGAGCTAACAGCAACATTTGCTGTTATCAAGGAACAGCAGAGGAGCCGTGCCCATAAGTGCGGAGTCTATTATTTCAATGGCATTGCAGCTGCTAGTGGGTAGTGGATGCATGTTCGTTGGAGNTGAGCTAACAGCAACATTTGCTGTTATCAAGGAACAGCAGAGGAGCCGTGCCCATAAGTGCGGAGGCTATTATTTCAATGGCATTGCAGCTGCTAGTGGGTAGTGGATGCATGTTCGTTGGAGGGATGATTTGTTTGTTGAATTTGGGAATGAGAAGATGACAGTCAAGGGGGAACGAAGGAGAAGTGGCACAAAAGATAAAATCAATCTGGATCTAACTTCTGCATATAGACAAGAGATGACGATAATGAGAGATAAAATTACAGCCAAGCTAGCTAGCTCTAGCTAACGGGATTTGTGTGTGATGGTTAAGAGTTTTCTTTGCATGGCTTTTGCTACATAGAGATTAATGCAGCGTAATTAGAGATTTATTTATATGGATTTGGCTAAAATCAAATTTTTTATAACATGTTTTTTCTTTAAAGCATAAAACAATTTTTTTTTGTCAAATTTGCTTTAATCTTTTTTTTTTTTTTTTCTAAAAAAAAAAGGTACTTCAGATAAGCACTACTAAACAAAGACCTATATATAGTTCTTTATTTTCAAAGTTTTATTCAAAACTTCCAATCCTACCTCGAGATTGATATATACATATGTATGTATGTGTGTGTGTGTGTGATTTGTCTATATATTCAACTTGGATTGTTTCGTTTTTTGTAGGGTTGCGATGTATCGACAAGGCCAATGTGAGAATTTTTTCATGCATATTTACAATGATGATCAGGCATGTGCCACTGAGCTTAAGAATGCTTGTCCTCCATTGGATAAAGATCATCAGCTATTAGTTCCTCTGGACTTCGAGACCCCTAACAAGTTTGATAAACACTATTTCACAAATCTCATCAACTGACGAGCCCCTTTTCACTCAGACTAGGAACTGTTCAATGGCAGTGCGTTGGATAAACTTGTCCAAATTTAACTTGGATTGTTTGATTTTTTTTTTTTTCGTAGAGATGCGATGCATCGATTCTCTTGGATGATGCTGACAGCTTCAAGGGTGAAAAGTTTGCACCTAGCAACAAAAACTCTGCGAGGGGTTTTGTTATCATTGACGACATTAAATCAGAGTAGTGGTGGCAATGGCAATACAAGATGCATTTGCAATTGTAAGATACATGTGATTATTCAGGTTTTTCTTTTTAGAAATGTAAATGGTTTATCTGATTCATATTTGCATATATTGTAGTTTGGAGGCCTTTTTACGACGCCCCCTCTGGATGTCGAGATGCAGTGATTGTGGACCTCCCTGCTCCATCTCTTAATCTATATGACTTAATTGACTCCTTCGCAGCTAGTGGCTAAGAGTAATGTCCGGTGCACACACAAGAGTAATGACCTAATTTGCTAAAGAACTACTGAACTTGTCCGGTGCACACACAATCGGACAAGGTCAATGTGCAAACTTTCGCATGCATATCTATAACGACACCAACATTAACAAGGCCTTTGCTAGTGAGCGTTTGATTGATTGATTGATTGCTTGCTTTCTATTGGGTGAAGATCAAGTTATTTTACCAACCTCATCAATGGTTGAGTCATTTTTCACTCGGATCGGGAACTATTCAATGGCGGTGCGTTGGATCAACTTATCCAACGATATGTCGATGATAACCTTCTGTTTGGGGAAGATTTCTCAGCCCCCATGGTTAAAATGGGGAACATCAGCTCCCTCACTGGCACCTAATGCGAGATCTGAGAGCTATGTTGGAAAGTTAATACCTAGTTTTTAGATGATCATGATGGGGTTCTTTCATTCTGGTTCTGAATATTAGAGTTCTTACCAATACTTGATGTTTAAAATGAGTGATGCTATTGAGATTTGAAAATTTGATTTAATTTGTCAATTATGATTTTGATTGTAGTTGATTACTTTTATGCTCCGTTTGATAGAAAGGATAAAAAGTAGAGAGGATGAAAAATAAGAGGAATATATTTTTTATCTTTCAAAGAAAGAAAGTAAGAATGATACACTTTCCTTCTTTCTTTTGTGTTTGGTTGGATGGATGAAAAATAAAAATGACTATTTTTTTTTGTGCTGACTAAAGGTGATAATTGAGTTGTGTCGTGTCAGATTTGTGTTGAGTCATTACCGATTTGTGTCGAATATTAGTTACACTTAATTCAACTCTTAACTAATTGTATCGTGTCGAATTATGAGTTGACATGTTTATTTACGTGTTTGAATTAATAAAGTTCGTGTCATAAAATTTGTATCAAATTCGAGTCAAAAATTTGCACCCTTACTTAAGATAATTTTTTTTTTAATTTTTAATTTATTAAAATATATTATTATTATATTTTTATATAAAATTAATGTATACATAATATATGTATATATAAAAAGATATATAGACAAATAAGATACATTTCAACACAAATAATTAATTTTTCATCCACTTTCTTTTCGATTTTTGAGGGATTGATTTGGGTGAGTTGTAAGAAAAGTTAATCAATTCATTTTTTCGTCTTTTTTATTCTCCTTCTTTACCAAACATAATATTTTATTTGTTCCTCTAATTTTTCGTCTTTCCAATTTTCTATTCTTCGATTTTTCTACCATACTAAAAAGAAACATTACTATCAAGCATATATATTCTTATTTCCTTTTCCTTCTACGTTATTTTATTTCATCGATGTAAAGTTCTCGAGCCCCGACATGTTAACGTATGAGCTCTTTGCCAATACCATGTTACTGCATGGGTAGCGTACCTTGTCCCAAATTGTGAATGTGTACACTAGTTAATAATGGTTTGCATGCAACACCTAGTGAGACTACTGCAAACATAGTACATAAGCAATACCTAGTCCAAACCTCCCCCTACCAAAACCCACCTCACAAAAAAACAACAAACCCATAAAAGAATAAAGGGCATTACTAACTCATTGAATTTTGATCTCTTCTAGGAATAAAAATGTACTATTAATACGGACGGGAACAAAGCACAACCAACCAATTCATGGTGGTTACTAACTTTGCTTAGTTAGTTCACATGATGTTTTTTTCTTTTTTTTTTTAAACCAATTTTAGTTCACATGACGAAAGAGTTGGACATGGAGAATTAACCAATGACATCACCTACTAAATAGGCCCTCGAATCAGCCCAATAGTTTACACATTGGCCAAGCTTGATTATGTAACACTTAAAAAGCCATGATAAAGACAAATAATCCAGCAACAGACCTAGTCATTGTGTTTGTCAAAAATGGGTTTAGTGATTTAACCCAAGCCAATAACTATGATTTAAACCGACATTTTACAACGGGTGATAATTTCAAGGTAACGTTTTGGGGTTGTTACACCTGATCGTCTCAGACTACTCTTTTAACCATCAGAGAGAGAGAGAGATCCACACACACAAAAAATTGTGAAACTGTTGAATTGGGGGACTTCAAATAGTGTCAAAGAGCAGGAACGACCATTTGAACCCAATTGCAGATTTTGGTTGTTTTTCATTTTCTATATTACCCCTTTCTTTAACACAATCTACCAACAGTTTGCCCTATTAATTTTCACACTTCATACATGAATTTGGGGTAGGTCAATAGTATTTAGGGATTTTTTTTATGGCCGGTCTAATGTAAAGGATTTTTGTGTCATTAGGTCCAGATGATATTTTTATGGGTCTTAAAGTATACTTTCATTTCAAAAGATACGTTTATCCCATGTCTTAACCTACACATACATAGTCATTTGAGTGTACCACAATCCAAATTTATGTATAGGCTTTATGTAGCCCATTTATGTTTTGGCATGTGGTCTCCTGAAAAGGGTGTAGATTTTTGGACAAAATAACCATTTATTCACTTGATAAGAAAGACTTCAGCCTCCAGAGGTCAATGCAGAGTTACACTATGTCCTCTTCAGATGGTCCAATGTCAGCATAGAACTGTGGACATTCTTTTTACAATATTTTTCCGTTAATTTGGTAGATGGTGGGTCTTAGTACAACGATAAAATTACTACATTGTAATTTGAGCAACATAGATTCGAATCATGAAAGTAGCCTCTGTGCACGCGAGGTATAATTATGTGCATCTGATATTCTCGAAACTCAGAAGAGAGTTTGATGTACTAGATTGTCCTTTGGAGGTGTTCCTTGTGGCAACGAAAAGATTACTCTATTTGAACTTGATTGGTACGAGAAATAAGTCATGAAAACAGTTTTTCTCTCATGAAAAAAGGAATGCGGGCACATGAACCTCTTTAAACTTCATAATAACAGAAAACTCGTGCACTCGGATATCACTTTTTTGAATTTATACATCCTAATTCAGCGTCGACCAGAAGAGGATTTTCAGGGCCTAAACTGCAATTTATTTTGATCTGACTAGCTTAAATTGGAACAACTGGTTCATTTTGCTGAGATTATTGTGAAAAAAAAAATTAGGAAAAATAACTCCACCATAGAAAATATGTTGTTTAGTTGAGTTTCAGGATTTAGTTGTCATGGGTCCTATGTAATGAAAATTTTCTGCTTTTTTCCATCTCCCTTTTCCAACTTTTCTCAGCAACCAAACAAGCATTAGGCAATAAAGCTCCTACTTCTTCAATCTAGTCACATTATCTTTGGCATCACTTACAGAGACTGCTTGGACCTTTTTCTCCCACCAACTTCAACAACAAAGTGATGATTTACTAAAGGGAGAATCAAATTTGAACCAACCACTGTAATGGATTGACACTTTACCTATATGCCTCTGTTAAGGCATATAGTTTAATATAATTAGGCCATTATGATGTGTTAATGTCTCTAAAAACTCAGGCAGTTCAGCCATTGATTTGATACAATCCTGATCATGTGGGAGGCAAGGTGACCACTAAAATTTTGTCGTGTCGATCTTGGATTCATCCAAATCACAAACATGTCCTTGGCTAAACAATAATTTAGATCAAGTGGGCAATTAACTTGTAGTTTTTCCTAAGTTGCATGTAATGAGCTATCACAATCATCCAATGTAAAAAAGGAAGAAAGTGGAAAACTTTTTAATCATACATGCATTTGCCTCATCTAAAAGTGACTATTGCAGTGTCAATAACTAGAACGACAGCTTCAAGTGATTAATATTATAACAAACGACATGTTTCTAAAGTGTGTCGATACTTTGAACATTCATAAGGCATGTCACTGATCAAATTTTAACGTTTTCAAACGTTTAAGGTGAGGAAATCTTGTTGTGGAAGATGAGTTGATTATATGTTTTTCAGCTTGACATTAGTTGAACACAATGGAATTTTAGAAAACTATGATTGTACTGGTGGTTGTGTACTGGTGGTTGAATCTGGAATTCTATCCATAGCCTTATGGTCCCCTGTTCATTTGATTGTGGGGCTTGAAGGGTTCCTACAAATGAAAGTTGTCTATAATGGTTCACATTGAGAAGCGATGCTCACGAATCTATGCGTAGTTTGTTTTTCTTTTTTTTTTTTTTTTTTTTTTTTTTAGGCCTTTTTGGGAGGTTG